CCCTTCCTGTTGAAGAACGAAGAGGAAAGACGCTATTTCGGGTTAGAAACTTCGTTAATTTACTTTAGAAAAATCCTGAAAACTCCACATAAATCTAAATAAATCATTTAATATTTACCACACAGATTTTAATAATGGAGCATTTCATCTGAGAAAAACGCTGCAGGCTCTATAACCAACCTTCTTTATTTTCAAATATTAAATAGAAGAGGTTCAATGGGGAGCAATTCCACGGAAGTTTGCTCCATCTTCCCTTGTTTGCTATTTATCCGGTTTTAAATTGGCCCGTATTATATTTTTTGTTATAAAATATTTAATTTTCACTCCGATTTGGAGAGTTTCATATTTTATTTAAATTCCTCCGTTGGGTCTCTCTTGATTAAATCCTACTGGCTCCAGACAGAGCTCAACTGCCCCCCCACAGCGGATGGGCAATTTTATACCTACTCCACGAATATTTAATAGGTCGATTTTAAAATATTGAATTGGTCTATAAACAGAATCGATATCCGTAGAAGTCTGTGCATTGCTGATGATACTTATACCAAGTACACTTATTGGTACAGACCATGATGCAAATATTGGTACAGACCATGGTACGCATATTAATACAAGCCATGCAACACTTATTGGTACAGATCATGGTGCAAATATTGGTACAGATCATGATGCAAATATTGTTACAGACCATGGTGCAAATATTGGTACAGGCCATGGTGCAAATATTGGTAGAGGCCATGGTGCAAATATTGTTACAGACCATGGTACAAATATTGGCACAGGCCATGGTGCAAATATTGGTACAGACCAAGGAGCACATGGGGTTTACTGCTGCAAGTACACCACATATATACCTATGATCAGTTTTATTTTGCCTTTACCACACAGCCCCATTGTCATTATTTCCAGTCATTGATGATAAATCTCTAGTGCAATAATTCGCAACCGCATTGAAGCTAATATATTATTTTAAAACATTTTATGCAAACTCCACTATCCTTGATGTCTGCAGCGGCAGTCTAGCCTACCGCCTCCACCGTGGTAAAGGTGTGAGATAAAGATTTCAGATCTCCACCTGACAAGCATTACTTGTTAAGATTAGATGATGGAGCTGCTCACTTCCATTACTTGTCCATGGATGATTAAAAGCATCTTTTGAATCTCCCTAAATATAAACAGATAGTTGCCTGCGCACAAATGCTAAAAATGTGTGAAGTCATACATATCAAAGACTAAGTTCTATTAAGAATAAAAGTCAGTCGAAGTTATTCAGGTATACCCCCAGTAAAGTTTTAACATAACATCTTTGACTACGATCTCAACTCTGCGTATAAAACTAATGAGTGCTAAATCCCCAATATCACATCGAATACACATTCTAAGAAATATTCTCTTTGACTCCAGATAGTCGGATCTGTACTAATCCCGACGCTGGGGAAGGAGGGTCGACAGACGTGGCGAATGCTGGAGGTGAACGCTCCTGCCGACCTGTTCATGCTTTGAATGGGCGAGATCTACACTGCGTAGAGCTTATATACTATTGGGGATGGGAGGTTTCTTGATATATTTCCCGTTTAACTATACTTTATCTGATATTTCATCATTGTTTCACTTTCACCTTCGTCAATATTAGTGATTCTATTATAGTCCTATTCCGAAAAGATCACTGGATTAATTCTCAGTATCATATCAATATAGGTTTATGGAGTCGTTATAGAGATGACGTCCTGTATATCCTTTCGAAAACTCGCCTTGAAATGATTCCGCCCTCGTCAATTCCTGCCTTATAGACATTTCATTAAAGAGGGAACATAACCAAATTATCTCGTTCCTTAATACTTCAATTATAAGAACCAATTCCGTTTTCCTTAGAACAGTATTCTTTAAGAAAACCTCCCATTGGAGCAACAGTTTTACTATAAATGTAGTCAGAACTCTCTCTAAATGTATCTTTACCCACCATTCTTTACCATCGTTAAAAGATGAGTAAAATTTAAATTTCATTCGCATCCTCACTGCATCAGGTTACCCATTATTCTTTATAGTCAGGTATTTTATGCGCGTTCTCCACAAGCCAACCATCTATAGAACCCATAGCATAATTTCTTACTTAGAGTTTTCCAACTCCTTAGCCTTCAGTTCCGCTCCTGACCTAGGAAACAAGCTTAGGCACATAATTCTTGTCCGACCTCTTGAACAAATTCATTGTTTTTTTACTCGTGTTCGCGGTGCGACCTATGTCGGGGAGACAAGCAGTTTGGATAGGTACGCTCTTGGCTTAACATCAAAAATGTGTCAAAAACCCTTATAGCCGTTCACCAATATTCCAAAACACACATATGACTGGTCATCCCTCAAACTATAATCAAGCAATTACCATAGTAGTAATATTAGAAATAAGCACCAAAACAGTTATTCAGTTAAACCGAAACCTCTCTCTCTCTCTCTCTCTTTGTAACACAAAACCTAAACAGTATTAACAGAAAAATATATTTCCCGGACAATACAAAATGTTCTGTCTTAAACCATAATTTGTCTTTTGTTTTCCCATAATTGATCACACTCCTTATTTATCCTATACCGTTGCATTATTTTAGTTTTATAAACCATTTGTAAATTGCCTATTATGAATATATTCTCAAATTTTCAAATCTTTTAATAAACATTCATGTCTTATATATATTTTCAGATATATATACAAAAGATCTATATCTCATGTATCACATATTTTTCAATGTTTCAAATATCATAAACTAGGTTGCTCTTGTTGAGCGGTACCTAATAAAGTGATTTTTTTTTTATATCTCATATATAAATCGCCTTCCTTTTAAAATAAATCTTTCTGCTCCGCTCTTCTCAATAGACACATGAGCTAGAAGGTTTAATAAAGCTGCCGTAGTTATATGTAAGAGCTACATGGACATCATCAGTCTTTGAGGGATTTATTTGCAATCTTAAGATATTAACGTAATGGGAGGGGGCAAGAATAATAATTAAAATATGTATGTATATATCGAATATTTTAAAACTGTATAATAATGACACTTTTAGTATATTTAACATATCTTCCAATTAGTTAAAGCCGATACCTTATAAGATCCTACCCTTCTATTAAAATGTACACTATTTCTATTTACTACCACCCCATATTTTGTATATAAACTATTTGTATTCAAACCCCCTACTTGTATGCAAAACTAAAAATGTTGACGTCAAAATAAAGATACAAAGAGTGTTCGGTCAGCTGGTGGCAGGGACAGAGGGGAGGAAAATGCCAACGCCCATGTGTGGCCGGCCCCCAGGGATTCTTTATAGACCACACCTGTAAACAGGACAGTTTTTGGCGGGGGGTCAGCAGCAGATGGTTCTAGGAGGTGTCTTTCATCAGACGGCTGCTGTCTTTCAGACACACTCTCTCTCTCCATGTCTCGGGGATAAGCATCCAAGTTTGTGTCATGGCCTCTACCTCTGTCCCGTGGGCTGTCCCCGATCACTCTCGGTGCTAACATCTAGCCCTGCCTCTGCTTCTTGTTGTCCGCGTGTGGAAAGATCATCAACACTCGCCTCGCGTACACGACTGCCAGTTCATCCATACATCGACATTTGCAACAATATTACATATATATATGTCACATTCTGCTTATAAATTATTAGTAGATGTAAATTTTTACGCCGTTAGGAATAATGTAAATATTTGTAACGATATAAAAGGCGCGTGATTGAAATAAATTTAGTCAGACGGTTGATTGTTCTCTCTTTCTTTACGCAAAACAATATCATATTGGCGTGTTACATATATATGCCGCACAATAACACAAAAGCTCATCTCCCAGTAGAAATCTCAAGCGTAGTGTTAAAGAATGATCCACACCACCATGTTTATAAATTTCATACAGAAGCAAACCTTTATATCCTGGTTTCGGACAATAGACCTTATCAGTATAAAGGGCGGCTCAGATTCAGTAACATCCTACGTGAGTGTTTAGGCTGGTAAAATAGCAGGGCCGATTTTCAGGCTGAAATATAAAGTTGCGGGAGATGGTATTATTCATGTACCAAAATATGCCTCTCTCCTTTTAAATAAACATAGAAGCACTGCATTGTGTTTATCCCAACAGTAGAAACCTTAAAGGTGGAGATAAAGTCACTATACCTGTTTTGGTTGATTCCGACAAATTCCAACCTGTATGCCATGATTTCGACTTATTTATAACTATTCTCGTAGGATGTTATGAAATCAAAGTTGCCTCTATACTGATGAGGGATATAGTCCAGAACCATGGTATAAGGTTTAGCTTTAATCTGAATTTTACACAATTGGCGCTGTGTCTTATTGATTATGACCACCTTTAAGATTTTTTACTGGGGTTATAAACATAAGACATTGTAGGCTTTAATTCATATTTGAAGGGTGTGTGAGGCGCCTTTTTGTTACATGAATACTATCTCTCCGTAACTTTGTTATGAAAAATAATAAATATATTTATATTTATAGGATCGAATCATTCAACGCTTTCGAATTTTTAAATAATGATTGAGAGAGAAGAGAATTTTTTGTATGTGACTAAACCCAAGTGGACCTGATTTCCCCACCTTGTCGTGGTCCTTTGTTGGGAAGTAATCAGACAATCTGGACAATAAATGCTACCCTGCAATTCTATCTTACTTTTTAATTCTTAGGTGATCTTTTAAATTGATGTAATTAAATAAAATAGAAAGCCATTTTAAAATAAAATATCCATCTTATTGAGACAATTAGATTTCAAAAATATATAGAGCTCCTTTCAAATTTAGTTTTGCTGCCATATGTTTGTATTTTCACATTTTAAAATAATTATTAAGCCTAGACAATTGACAATCAACATGATTTAATTGATATCTTGTCAATACATGCAAAATGCACAACCTGTACTATTTTGAAAAGATAATTATATATGATACTATGTACAATGAATATGGCGCCGCTGCAGAAATTGGTGGAGAATCGCCAGCGGGTGCCCACGGCCATACCACATTGAAAACACGGGTTCTCGTCCGATCACCGAAGTTAAGCAATGTCGGTCAGTACTTGGGAGGGTGACACCTGGGAGTGCTGTAGGTTATTATTAAGCCGAGATAACGGGCCCTGTTTTAAGTAATCTTGTGCTGTTCAACCATCGGTATTAAGATATTAAACTAGGGCTTATTGGAATGGAGAACTATGTTGCTGGAAGTACTCTAACACTGAAACATACGTACACTGCAGTCAATGTCGGTGTGCGCAGTGCTGCCCAGCAGGGACCCTTTCATCGAGGGACTGCGGCCTCAATACAATGTCGGGGACGTCATCAACGCCACGTGCACCTCGGGGCCGTCCAAGCCGGCCGGCGCCCTGGCCTGGTTCGTCAACGGAGAGAAGGTGATAGCTCATCTACCTTCCCATGTACAAAGTTACAGAGCACCATGGGGTGTTGGACTTGTGCCGCGGCATTGAAAATATTTATTGTCGTTTCAAAATTACTTCAATTCTGGTCCCGAACCTGGGTTATTGTAGGCGAAAACATTTTTATATCCCTAGTACACGTGATACAGGCCATAATAATCATGATGGGTAGAAGTTGACGACTGATTTTACTGCACCACATGTCTACACATGTGAAAAGAAGTTCGACTTTGCACTTACAAATGTGCCAGAGCCCCGTTTGGTTACCTGCACTCGCTAGTGGGGTTGGACATTTTCAAGAATCGGGGGCCATTGGAGCATTTTTTCAATTAGAAAAAAAAGTTGCCAATGCGGGATACGATCCCGGGTCGTAGCGGTCGAAAACCAGCGGGTTAAACCACCCTTCCACCGACCCCCGGCGAAACAATAAACTTTCTTACCATAAACAACAATGTTTTAATAATGAGATTATCAGGACATAGCTAGATGGCTAAATCTGGAGAAAATTCGCTGCACGTATCAGCTCATTAGCATTAAATCTACATCACAATATCCTTGTTAAAGTTACTAAAGAGGATTTTGTATAAACAATTATTTATGGCTAGGGGAGTATGTCCCAAGATTACACTGCATGCTCTCATATGTTATAAAACTATTTTATCAAGAATAATTGAATAATTTAGAGGGGAATATTTTATCGAGAACTTGTATTAGAACGCCTTGTGATGTAGACAACAGATATTTTAACATTAATTTGTTTTCATAATATTCTATGCAACTTTTACTTTGATGTAAAAATCTCAATAGATGAAAATTATATTCCACATGGAGATTGGTGAAATATTCTGGTGTAGGTGTTTATTCTATATATAGAATTACATATAAAATGTGTTATTTGTAACGATATTTTTATTGGAGCATTTATTCATTTATATTTTCGCTTAAAACAGCAGGAATTGGTTACAATGGGGAGTCTTGAGATACCCCCGGTAATAAATCCTTTATTTACTCAACTTTAAAGCTGGAACAAACGGATTGTTGTGCAGGTCCACCATGGATATGAACGCAAGCTTCAACGAGAGCGGTTCCATAGCGGCCTACAGAGCTCCAGGTCGCGGCTAGAGCTGCCGCTGGTACAAGGGGGGCCACAGCGGGTGCGGTGTGAGGCCCGCATCTCTCAGGTGTACTTCAGTAGCGGCCAGGAGGTGCTGGTGGGAGACCGCGGGGCGGCCACTGGACCCAACAAAGGTACTCTCTTGGAACAACGGACACGCATGTGACAAAAGTAAACTTTTACGGTTTAACACACAATTTGAAAATTACTAGGCCTAAAGTAATAGTAACTTAACACACAGAAAAGCGTACACTCAATAATAAACAACAATAACAGGGAGTTAAATAAAACTCACGTTTTGCTATATAAAATAAAAACAGCACTTATCTCTGTAGCGTTGGTAGTGATGGGACCCCGGGGTCACACAGGTATGCGAGTAGATCACCAGACACGGATAAAACACGCAGAGAACACTTTAAGCGTCTCCACACAATAATCCACCACACTGGCCTCCTCGCATTCCCTTAGCCCCCTCATATATACAAACATGGCCACATTCGTCCAATGAGAAGGCGTGAGAGATTGGTTTACTAACAAACGAAAACAACATTATTCCCGCTAAAAACTGCAAATGTTTGTCAATATAATTTGGCAATACATGTGACAAACCTGATTCAGCCGGGTGACTATCCTACCACGACAGCACAACCATCCTTGCGGCTAGCAATATTGATTACCTCCATGTCGTATAACACTATGAGAATATACGAAATATACTAATATACGAGGAGGCAACCTTTCACTGAAATACTTTCTATTAATACCAAAGTTTTTAGGTAGATTTTTATTTCTTATTACTCCAAACTTTATAAGATAATTATAATTTTTAAAAATTCTATTTTTTATGTCATTTATATTTATAATCGATTCTTTAATTCGAGAAGAAATATTCACAGGTAGAAATAAATAGTTAATAGAATATAAAAATACTCAAAGATAAAATTCGATAATTGCTACATCCCAAGCTATATCTGTAGAACACGCTACATCCCTCCCCCGGAGAAACCCTCGGCACATTTAAGTTTCAGAAACTACAATTGATACAAAAATAAATCTCCATTAAAATGTGCGGCATAAAATAATAGTTTCTATATTCTCCTACATTCTGTATATTGATAAATGAGTGCACATGTGATTGAGGGAATTTCCTAGAAGATAATCTTGTTTTTATTTCGTTTTTTAGAGGTTCCCCGCTGGCTACCATCCAATAGACCCGCTAAATTCGGCGGTTTTTCTGAGCCACCGCCGTTTCTTTAAATCCTTTCTTGTTTGGGCGCAACAGGATAAAATACATTCCCTGCCCTCATATATCCCCGGGAATTATTCTTTTCAGGAGTAAATTTCATGAATTGGTTTGTGAATTATCCATTTTTCTACGTACTTTTTTTATACCGAATCAGTACCTGTAATTGAATCTCTGGTGTTTGTGCTATGAACATTTCTGTATATGAAGTATTGTATATTTTCAAATCTCTCCGCACCTGAGATAATAGAAACATTTCTCCAAAGCTGTCACTTTCGCTTTTCGCGCGCGTGAAACTTCAGAAGAGACCATTTATAGTAGAATATATGGCGTTGAGCATATGGGCAGTAATCACTGGGTTTTGATAATAGGTTCTTAAATACTAAATGGCACATCTATATATATAAAAATGAATGTTTGTATGTATGTTTGTTTGTTTGTTTGTACGTCCGGTATACAAATTCGAAGTAGTTCACTAATTCAAACCAAAATGTCCATACATAGGTAAAAATAATACGGGGAAGACGATAGGCTATTTTAAAAAATATATAAATCAATTATTAAAATTATATATTCAAATTATTCTACTTAGCTCACGAACAGCGCCCTCTATCAAAGATTAGATTAAATTATGCTGATGCAAACAAATAGATAATGCTAATAACAAACAATTATAAAAAAACTTATCTAAATATATATCACTCGGGTAGATATGCACACGGGTCAATCCCGGGGCGAAGCCCGGGTCACCCGTCTAGTATATTATAATAACACTTAACAAAAGACATGAGATATTATAGATATAAGCCAAAATAAATAATATAAAAATACAGACGACTAAATTTGAACCTCAATACAATATATTGAATTAAGAGAGACTCTACTTGAATTAAATCCCTAGCATTTCCCCAATGCATTGTTCTATGAACAAAATAGCTTTAAATGGATTGAGAAGCTTCTGGATAACGTAGAAAACTAGGGACGGAACGTATTGAGAGAGTCACCAGTCTCGGAATGTCCCGACAGACTCTGATTGCTCATTGGATCCCAACATTCGCATCAACATTACTTTCTGTATTTTTATACTATCTACATTATAAATAAATAAGTTTTACTAAGGCAGCCGTGTTAAGACTCAACGATCAGAGAGAGAGAGTTAGCCATAAGATTCCATTAAGGTTCCCCTAGCCCAGCCTTAGAGATGGTGTAAGAGCCATGAAAGTTTCAATCAGGCCGGAACGCTCTAATTGAAGAGCATCTCTTCATCCCTTTAACGTTTCTTCGGAAGTAATTGAATTGTGAAGGAGGGGATGATGGACTCATCTTCCAGGACTACCCTCCGTGGGTAATTCACAGCGATTACAAAACCATTCTTTTATAGTGGAATTTGTAAGGATCAGACATCTACGCTTTTCTACTCACAATGCGTTTTAAAACACCTAGAACATCGTTGAATTCTGTTTTTATATCTGAAGTAGTATACACTTTCACGCCATTATAATAATGGTTTCGACTTTTTCATACACACATACATTTTAGATTTATTTGAACATAGAATTCTAAACAAAATTGTTAAGACACAAGAAAGATAAATCAATCTATAACAATTTTGATAAGGCCGTTTTATAGACACTATAGCAAAATAAATTATAAAAATATTAAATCTAATATTTATTTTCAATTATAAAGTTAAAAAATTATTTTCTTAAGCTGCTAGGTAGTAATTCAGAACTCATCCTTTCTTGTTTTATTATACGTGTATATGACAGATTTATATAAAATAAATTTGAAAGTGTTTTGCTTCCGATACATGGCTCTACGCTTCAAAATCTTTAAATTGCCAATGCGAGGAGAACGATGGAATCTTGCCGACCTTACTCTTGAGCCGACTAGCTACGTGGTTGACGCATGCAAGGTGCTGGGATTGGACTCTATAAGCCGAGAAAAATTTTTCACCTAAATGTCATAACCTTGCCTATTCTCTCTCTCGAAAATCGTCAGTGTCTGCAATCTATGGAAGCTTTTATAATTTCAAAGTCAAACATACATTTTTCAAATGGTACTAATATGTACATGTAACTAAACGGGGCTCAGGTGCCCTTTATCTAAAAAAACTAAAGGTCAAATTATTAATTGACAAATATAAGCAAAAACATTTTTAACGAATTACTACCGAACGACGAATTACAGCCGAGCAGCAGATGATTCTAGAATTTTCAAAATATTGTAATGGGCAAGGTTCCAGTGGCTCTCCAAGCAGCATTTCGACTTTCCAGAATTCTTCAGCAATCCAAGGAGGTTTCTATTCATTGAGGAACAATA